GTGGCTCAAAGGAATAGGGCACCAACCCCATATGTGGGAGGTGGCAGGCTCAAGCCCAGCCCCAGCCAAAAACTGCAGAAAAAAAAAAAAAAAAAAGAATCGGTAGATTTGCACTGGTATTATCAACTGATATGACCCCAGAAAGAAAAAAGAATTAATAAAAAAGAACAGAGCCTCTAAGACTGTGAGACACCAGTGTATCAGTGTAGCATAATAGTAATTTCAGAAGCAGAGGACAAAGAAAGGGAGAGAAAGGGTATTAGCTAAAAAGAGTAGGGAGAAAGGGGGAGAAAGAGTATAGCCAAAAACTTCTCCAATTTGATTTTAAAAAATAGTAATTTATACTCCAAGAAGTTTAACAAACTATAAGTAAGATAACCTTAAAAAGATCCTTATGTAGACACATAGTCAAACGTTTTGTGTTTTTTTTTTTTGAGACAGAGCCTCAAGGTATCTCCCTAACAACAATGATGGCTGCAACCAAAAAAAATAGCCAGGCGTTGTGGCGGGCGCCTGTGGTCCCAGCTACTTGGGAGGCAGAGGCGGGAGATGCGCTTGAGCCCAAGAGTTGGAGGTTGCTGTGAGCTGTAATGCCATAGCACTCTACCCAGGGGGACAGATTGAGGCTCTGTCTCAAAAAAAAAAAATTTTTTTTTTTAATTTATAGTTTCTCTTTTCTCTTGTATGATTTAAAAGATAAATGCAAAAAACAGTAATTATATAAGACTATCTTATATAAAAAAAAATTTTTTTTTTTAATTTATAGTTTCTCTTTTCTCTTGTATGATTTAAAAGATAAATGCAAAAAACAGTAATTATATAAGACTATCTTGATGGGTTTATAATTTAGGAAAATGTGGATTGTATAAAAATAATAGCACAGGCTGGGTATCATGGCTCATGCCTGTAATCTCAGCTCTTTGGGGGGCCGAGGTTGGAAGGTTGCTTGAGCTCAGGAGTTTGAGACCAGCCTGAGCAAGATTCCATCTCTACTAAAAATAGAAAAAATTAGGGTGGCACAAGTGGCTCAAAGAGTAGGGTGCTGGCCCAATATACTGGTGGTGACAGGTTCAAGCCTAGCCCTGACCAAAACTGCAAAAAAAAAAAAAAAAAAGAAAGAAAAGAAAAAATGAGCCTGGTGGGTGCCTATAGTTCCAGCTACTTGAGGGGCTGAGGCAGGAAGATTGTTTGAACCCAAGAGTTTGAGGTTGTTGTAAGTTAGGCTGACACCATGATACTCTGGCCTGGGCAACAGAATGAGATTCTGTCTCCAAACTAAGTGAAAGAATACATAAATAATAATAGCACAGGCTCGGCGCCTATGGCTCAAGTGGCTAAGGCGCCAGCCACATACACCTAAGGTGGCGGGTTCAAATCCAGCCCAGGCCCGCCAAACAACAATGATGGCTACAACCAAAAAATAGCCGGGCGTTGTGGTGGGCACCTGTGGTCCCAGCTACTTGGAAGGCTGAGGCAGGAGACTCGCTTGAGCCCAGGAGTTGGAGGTTGCTGTGAGCTGTGATTCCACAGCACTCTACCCAGCTTGAGTCTCTGTCTCAAATAATAATAATAATAATAATAATAGCACAAGGAGGAAGGAGGACATGAAGTTAATTTTTTTCAATATTAGAACTTTAATTGATACGCCATTACATATTCTGATTTTTATTTTGCATAAAATAAAATATATAAAAATTTTAGATTAATATGGGGGTACAAACAGATTCCATAATTTGCATTTGTAAGGTGAAAGTCTGATTTATTGGTATGTCCTATACCCAAGTAGTGTGCGATGTATCTGTGCAATGTAGCTGTTGAATAAGAATTTACCCAACCTTTTCTCTCCCTCTCCCCACTGCTTGAATTTCATTAAGTGTTTCTCTCATGTGACTGTATAGGTGTTAATCTACTAGTTCCAATTTAGTACCAGATACATGTGGTATTTGTTTCTTCGTTCACTTAGGAGAATGGTCTCCAATTCCATCCAGGTTGTTGCAAAATATACATAATCTCCATCTTTCTATGGCTGAGTAATATTCCATGGTATACATATATTACAGTTTTTTAATCCATTCCTGCATTGAAGGCCACTTGGGTTATTTCCATATCTTTGCAATTATGAATTGCATTGCTATAAACATTTCAGTGCAAGTATGTTTATGATAGAATGCCTGTTTTTCTTTTGAGTAGATACCTAGTAAAGGAGTTGAAGGATCGAAAAGGTGGGTCTACTTTTTGCTCTTTGAGCAATCTCCATATTACCTTCCCCAGAGGCTGCACCCGTCTGTAGTCCTACCAACAGTGTATAAGTATTCCTTTCTTTCCACATCCATGCCAGTATCTATTGTTTTAGGACTTTCTGATGTATGCCATTCTCCCTGGGGTTAAGCTGTATCTCAGTGTGATTTCAATTTGCATTTCTCTGATGATTAGCGATGATGAGTATTTTTTCTTGTGTTTGTTGGGAAACAGTAAAATTGAAGCAAGTTTTTTGTATTGTGGAAATTAAGTTGGTATTAATCGAAACTGGATTATTTTAAGTCAAGATAATAATTCCTAAGCAAACCACTAAGAAAATATAGTAAAAGACAAAACAGGAAATTAAAGTGGAATACTGGGAAATATCTATAACAAGAGAAAGTGGTAATGAAGAGCTAAAGATGTAAAAAAAGACGTAATACACATGGAAATAAATATCTAAATGTAAATGGTGAAACTCTCCAATCAAAAGGTACAGATTGACTGCCCCCCCAAAAATCATGATCCAACTATACAATCTCTCTAAAAGACCTACTCTAAACTCAAAGACACATATCAAAGTAAAGGATATATTGTATAGTAACCAAAGTTGGAATGGTTATTCCAATATCAGAAAATTTAGACTTTGAGGGAAAATTTATTTCTAGTGATAAAGGACATTTTGGGACCACAAAATGGTCAGTCCATCAGAAAGACATAACAATTTTTTTTTTTTTTTTTGAGACAGAGTCTTGCTCTGTTGCTCTGGCTAAAGTGCAGTGGCATCATCATAGCCCACTGCAACCTCTTTTTTTTTTTTCTTCTTTCCTTGAGACAGAGCCTCAAGCTGTCCCCCTGGGGAGACAGAGCCTCAAGCTGTCCCCCTGGGTAGAGTGCCATGGCATCACAGCTCACAGCAACCTCCAACTCCTGGGCTCAAGCGAGTCTCCTGCCTCCACCTCCCAAGCAGCTGGGACCACAGGCGCCCGCCACAACACCTGGCTATTTTTTGGTTGCAGCTGTCATTGTTGTTTGGCGGCCCTGGGCTGGATTCGAACCCGCCACCCTAGGTGTATGTAGCTGGTGCCCTAGCCACCTGAGCCACAGGTGCCGAGCCAGCCCACTGCAACCTGAAACTCCTGGGCTCAAATGATCCTTCTGCCTCAGCCTCCTGAGTACCTGGGACTATGGTTCATGTTACCATGCCTGGTTAATTTTTCTATTTTTTTATAGAGATGGGGTTTTGCTCTTGTTCAGGTTATTCAAGACATAATAATTGCAAATAAATGTGCAGGCTGGACATGGTGGCTTACGCCTGTAATCCTAGCACGTTGGGAGGCGAAGGCAGGAGGAGGCCAGGAGTTACAGACCAGCTTGGACAACAGAGTGAGACTTGACCTCTACAATAAAAAATATTTTTTTAATTAGCTGAGTATGGTGGCTCCAGAATGGCGTGTTGGGGAACTGTGGTGATCCAGAGCAGGTGAGAAAAGATGTATACTGGATTAGGGTATCATTCCAAGTGGTGTGAGGAGGGCACGCACGATACAGAAGGAATGATAGTGATACTGGGAGACCTGTTACAGACAGGCAAGGAGATTGGTCAAATATGTGCAGAAGGTGCCAAAAAATGCAGAAACGCTTTAAGAAAGGAAGAACTGTGAAGTTGTGATGCTGAAGTCACATTTGGCCTCTGCAATTACAAGAGATGTTCAGCGTGTTTTGCGTTCCTCTTTTGTTATTGGTATATACTGAGAAACACGCCCTCTGTGTACAAAAAGAACGGGAAGCGGGTTTGTCGCTGTAGGAGAGATTTCATGATTCACAACTCAGGGACATGAGACATTCTGAATTTAAAGAGGAGAATTACAAAATATTTTAGCCCTTAAGTGAAAACTAAATATGTGCATTGATTTTTCTTTTCTCAACTATTCTATATAATTGCTTATAAACATTATTGTAAAGAAATGTGACACATTGGCAGCACCCATAGCACAGTGGGTAGGGTGCTGGCCATGTACACTGAGGCCGAAGGGTTTGAACCCAGCCCAGGGCCAGCTGAAGCGATGACAGCTGCAAAAAAAAAATGCTGGGTGTTGTGGTGGGCACCTGTAGTCCCAGCTACTTGGGAGGCTGAAATGAGAGAACGGCTTAAGCCCAAGAGTTTGAGGTTGCTGTGAGCTGTGATGCTACAGCACTCTACCCAGGGCGACAGCTTGAGACTCTGTCTCAAAAAAAAAAAAAAAAAAGAAATGTGACACATTAGCATGAAATTGTTTTCCTATGTATCATTAATCAAGCTATTAGCTAATGTAAACTATAAGCAATATCTGTTTTCTGTATTCTAATCATTAGCTATCCTGCCCTTTAAAGTTTCTTGAAATTGGTCAGGCATGGCGGCTCATGGCTGTAATTGTAACACGTTCAGAGGCCCAGGTGGGAATATCACTTGGGGCCAGGAATTTGAGATTGGCATGAGCAACATAGAAAAAATAGAAAAATTAGCACAATTATAGTCCCAGCTACTCAGGTGGTTGAAGCAGGAAGACTGCTTGAGCCCAGGCGTTTGAAAGAAGTATGGGCAACATAGTGAGACACCATCTCAAAAAAAAAAAAAACTTTCTGCAAAAGAAGTCAAATATGAAGTGTTAGAATCACATCAGATTCCTCGAGAAACAGACCGGTCTCAAGTATCTGAAAACTGGTGGCCTTGTTGCTAGGCCTTTTCCATCTAAGAACCAACCAATATCTTCCTATTTCAGGCAACCCAAACCTCAGGTCCTGGACGTGCAAGGAAAATACAGTCGTGCTTTTATGGCCTGGCACGTGGGTGATTATGAGGATACCAACCAGAGAAATTCCAAATGGGCCATGCTTGTTAAGGAGAGTAACTCACTGCCAGGGAGACCTGCCAAGTCTTCACTGCTGCCAAAGCTGCCAATACATAAAAAGGTAGGATTTTTTTGCTTGTATTAATTATCATTAAAAAAAATCAGGTCAGGCTCGGCACCTTCATTACTCAGGGGTTAGGGTGCCAGCCTTATGTACCAAGGTTGGCCGGTTCGAGCCCGGCCCAGGCCTGCTAAACAACAATGACAACTGGAACCAAAAACTACCTGGGCGTTGTGGTGGGCGTCTGTAGTCCCAGCTACGTGGGAAGCTGAGGCGAGAGAATCACTTAAGGCCAAGAGTTGGAGGTTGCTGTGAGCTGTGAGGCTACGGCACTCTACTGAGGGTGACATAGTTAGACTCAGTCTCAAAAAAAAATATCAGGTCATTTTAACATATAGGTTTTTGTTTTTGTTTTTGTTTTTTAAATTTTGTTGGTTTTTTAAAATTTTTTTATAGTTTTTGGCCAGGGCTGGGTTTGAACCCATCACCTCCAGCATATGGAGCCAGCACCTTACCCTTTTGAGCCACAGGCACCACCCCCATATAGGTTTTTTGTTTGTTTGTTTGTTTGTTTGTTTTTTAAATTTGAGGTTAATGTGAGGGCACAAACAACCAAACCACAATATTTGAATTTGTTAGGTAGAGTTCCTCATTTGTTAGGTAGCTATGTCCTTAGATCTTCTACTGGCTTTATATTAGGATTGAGTACACTGGATACTTGCTTGTCCATTGCTGTGATACTTTACTGAGAAGAACGTGTTCCAGCTCCATCCAGATTAATACAAAAGATGTGAAGTCTCCATCTTTTTATGGCTGAATAGTATTCCATGGTATACAGATACCACTGCTCATTAATCCATTCCTGAACTGATGGGCATTTAGGTTGTTTCCACATCTTGGATAAATGAATGTTTTTAATATTTAATAAAAAGTTGTATAGCTCCTTTTAATCTACCAAAGCATTTTATAATTTATATTGGATTGCCATAAGGTTAACTTGGGGGTAAGAGGGTATGTTTATTATTCCCATTCTGTGTGGTTTAGTCCTTAAAATTGCTTATGTAGCACAAGGTTTACCGGCAGGGACTGGCCATCCCCTTGGCTTCCTTGGCTGAGAAAGCACTCAACCGGGAAATGGAGGGGAATCTCTAAAGCCCCTCAGAACCCTCACAGATAAGGTTAGAGTGAGAATATATCACTTCACATTCTAGTTTTCCCCCTTTACTATCTACAGAATCTTGGGCAAGTTGCCCAAGTATCCATATATGGTTTTTATAAGTGAAATGGGGATATTTGTATTGTTCTGATATTTTTGCAGAATTAATATGAGAATCAAGAAATGTGTAAGTATATATTCAAGGTCCACATACAAATCATTCTTCTATAATAGCTTTTTGCATAATCCCACAGCAGAATGCACTTTGTAGTCACCCTGTATTTCACTATTCAGTTGGACAGAAAAGGGAATAGCATAGCTCAGACCCAGAGACTCCTGTTCTCTACACAGAGTTGTCTTGCTCCACTGAAGAATCTTGCCAGCCCACTAGAATATTGCTTACCCTTTGTCCCCAGACAACTGATTCATCAGCAATTGATGTCTATCTGAAACACTCTAAGGGAGCCATGGTTGCCCTCCTTGGTACGTCCTGACATTGGGTATATTTTATATTTAAAACAGGGAAGAGTTTGACCACTAACATTCCTGTGTGGTCTGAATTTTGGGATAAATCCAAATGAAATGATTCATCACAGTGTATGTGGAAGAGGGCTTGGATTATCACTGAACTAATTTTGTATAGGATTAGAGCTATCACGAGTTAAATTTTCCCAAATATCTTCCTCTATCATTCACTAAATCCAAATGAAATATTTTTGTGTATCAGAAACAATCTGTGAAAAGACTTATTTTGATTTCAAATTTGCAGAGCAAGTTGCAATACAAGTACAAAAATCTTCTCGTGTACTCTTCACCCAGATCCATCTGTTGTTAATTTTATTGCTTTAATGTTCTTTCTCTATTTCTCTTTCACTATTTGGGGGTAAGTTGCAGATATGTTTCCCCCCTGCCTCCACTCTTTTTAGAGATAGAGTCTCACTCTGTCACTTAGGCTACAGAGCTGTGCTGTGGTCATAGCTCACTGCAGCCTCCAACTTCTGGGCTCAAGAGATCCTCCTGCCTCAGCCTCCCAAACAGCTGGGACTACAGGGTGCATGCTGACACCCAAGTAGCTTTCTTTACTTCTAAATATTTCAGGGTGTATTTCCTAAGGACAAGAATATTCTCTCACATAACCACAGCACAATTGACAAGATTCAGGAAATTTAGTATTGACATATTATCTAAAGTTCATGATCAAATTTTATTAATTGATCTTTGCATTTTTTCCTGATCCAGGATTCAATCTAAATAATAACTACATTATTTAGTTATCATATCCCTTTAGTCTCCTTCAATTTGGAAGATTTCCTCAGTTTTGGTCTTTTATAACACTGACATTTTTTGTAGAGTACAGGCCAGTTCTATAGAATCTCTCTCAACATGGGCTCATGTGATGTTTCTTCATGAGTGGATTCAGGTTTTGAGTTTGGGGCAGGAATCTCAGAGAGGTGATGTGTCATTCTCAGCACATCACATCAAGAGGCACCTGAGGTCAGATTAATTCTTCACTGGTGAGAAGAGTTTATTCCTCCATTACATCCTTTCTCTTCCAGGAATAAACGAAATACTAATCAAAACAGTCTTTAAGGCTCAGCGCCTATAGCTCAACCGGCTAAGGCGCCAGCCACGTACACCTAAGGTGGC